ATAATCATATTTTTAATAAATAATATATTATTTTATCTTGTACATGGCACGGGTGACATACTAGTATTAATGTATGCTAATTTGTGAAGCTCTGCCAAAAAGTTGATAAATTGTTGTTCTGTATTTTCACACATTCTTTTCTAAAGTCTGCTAAGAAATTTTGGACAAGTTGATTTTAAAATCTTACGCTCTAGTCAAATCCATATAGAAGAATCTCGTCGTCTGATTACACCAAGGATCCTCTAGAGTATTTTTTTTCTAAAATTTCCTAAAGTGGTGTATTGTGTAGTTGAGATTTAATGTTGAAAAATTGAAGTGACTTGTCATTAAATCTCAACCACACAATGCACTACTCTAGGAAACTTTAGGAAAAAAAAACTCTAAAGGATCCTTGCTCGTCTGATTACCTATACTCTTCTTGTTTGGAAGAAAAATGAAATATTTTCCGGCTCTATATGCAATAACCCTATATGTGAGAGTCAGTGGTAAAGTCGCAAGCGTCGATTAACAATCCGAGTTACAGAGCATTAATCAAGTTTTGCCAAATGGGAATCACATGTTTGCATGAAAGTATAAATTAAGGACTAGCAGTTGATAAATTTGAAACACATTGAACAGGCCAATTAAGGTAATATTAGTAAGCTAAAGAGGCTAAGATGGACAATCCAGAGCTATGAAGAACATTTATTGAAAAATGCAGTAGTTAAATAAAAATAAGAAACACAAAAGTTCAGAAAAGTATTTCACAAGAACACTACATAGATAACACACCCAACAAAATCAACATTAATATCAGAATCCTGAATAACTTAGGTCAAGAGATTCAACACAAGTCCCTTTTAGATACAAGCCATTCCTCGATTGATTGTACATTGAAAACCTGTGACTTCACGCTTCGCAGTTCTCTTAGTGATCTGAACACATTCATCGGCTGATTTTCCATTTGAACATCTGTGACTTCAGGCTTCGCGGTTCTTTCTCCTAGTTATCTGAAATTAGTAATTTCATATCCATTTCGTGCACTCAGAAAATGTCAAGAACAATATTACATAAAACAAAAAAATATAAGCGATACTTTTTGAGTTCAAAGAGTTTGACTCACCTGGGAGAGCCATGAACTATAATATCTTGTACCCTTCAATTTATTGAAGCCTCCTAAGGCCTCTAAAGTCCTCCCACCCTGCCAAGTTAAGATTCGCACATTTACTAATCTCCAAATTCCTCAAGTTGGCTGGCTTCTTCATGTTATTTGGTAGAGAAATCAAATTGGGACACGCTGCGAAGGTCACTGTTGTGAGCGCGGTGAGGAGTTGCATCTCTTCAGGCAAAAATCTAAGGTTTTCACAGCCTATAATATGAAAGGATCGGAGAGAGGTCAATAGTTGAATCTCTTTCTCTGGCAAACTACTCTCTTGTGTGGTTAAGTACAACATATCGGTGTCCTTAATAGTAATGCATCTATCTTATGTGCCTTTTGCAAAAATGAAAATGAATCTGCTTCTCACGTTCTATTACACTGTCCATTTTCTTGACAAGTTTGGTCTAATCTAATGCTATGGTGGGGGTGTGTTTGGGTGGTGCCAAGGACAATTAATTGTCTATTTCATTGGTGGATAGGTTGGGATTATAAGAAAGTGGTTAGGAGATTGTGGAGAGCCTTACCATCTATTGCTCTATGGTCCATTTGGAAGTTAAGAAATGATTGTATGTTTAATGGAGCGTAACTATGTGGGTCTGAGTTATGTGAGACAATTAAGTTCAGATTTGCTATGTGGGTTAAAGCATCTTCTAAGGGATTCATATACTCTACCATGGAATTAATTAATAATCTGGATCAGATTAAGCAATGCAGCTGAGGTGGATCCAGTTTGGAATTTTGCTGTGTGGATTCAGTTTTGGATGCAGGTTAATGGTCTGTGTTGGGCCCAGAGACTTGGTTGGTTTTGCTGATGGTCTGAGCAGTTAATTTGAGGTGCTCTTAGTCTTCAGAGGTTGGGTTGAGGGGCTAGCAATGCGATATGTTGCTGGAATCTGGTCTGCAATTGTGGTGCTCTGTTTGCTAAGGTTTATGCTGCTGATATGATGGATGGCTACTGTGTTCTGTAGATGGTGGAGTGGTTTGGCCTACAATTGGTATGTTGCTTTGTTGTGGCTGTAAGGTCTGAGGCTGGGGAGTGGTAATGCTGATGCCCTTTCTGTTATGCTTTTGAGATCCTGAGTCAGATGCTGCTTTGCTTGTGAGAGGATCTGCAGGTGGATGGCTGCTATTTTCTGGTGTATGAATGGCTTACGGTGGCTGCTGTGGACTGCTGTATGTTAAGCTTTATTTTGCTGGACTGCCTTACTCAGTGGGTCTGCACCAGCAGATTGGTGGTGTTTTGCTGCTATGCGCTGTTTGTGGCTTGGTTTGTTGGTCCCTGCTTAGATAGGATCAATCTCAGATATGATGTGGCTCTAGGTTCAATCTCAAATTTGGTGTGTTGTTCTGTGGCTCTAGTTTCAATCTCAACATGATGTGGCTCAAGGTCACTAGCCAGGTTTGTTTCTGGTTTTGAGCCAGGTTCAATTCTGTTGCTGGTATGAGGTTGGTCTGTTTTTGGACTGTTGGATTTCTTTGTTGTTCTCTTCTTTGTTTCTTTTCTTCTTGGGTTTGATTCCTCACCAAACTCCTGGGGGAGCAAGCTTGCTGCTCTTCCCCTCCTTTGTTGATGTAATCTTTGCTTTTGTATGGTTTTTGCATTAATGAAAGTTCTCTTTGGCTGAAAAAAAAAAAAAAAAAAAAGTACAAATGCCCGAGACTGATCAAGTTTCCTATTTTTTTGGGCAACTCTCGAATTTTAACACAATGCCAGATTCTCAAAGTCTGCAAATTGTAAAGTTTGCAAATAGCATTAGGAAGTGTCTCGATAGTTGCATTTCCACTGAGGTCTAAAAACCTCAAATGCTTCAAATTGCCAATGGAGTCTGGCAACACTTTCAAACATGAGTTGCTGAAATCGAGAACGTGTAGATACTTGAACTTTGAGATGCATCTGTTAACAAAGCCCTGATTATCACCGGCTCCCACTCCTTGAAATGGAAATAAAATCGTCCGTAGATTCTCTAGTTCGAACAACGATTTTGTGACACCTTCTTTCCCTGAACAATCACAATCAAGAAACGATACATGCTTAACTCTCTCACAAATCGAACCAGAACGATAATTTGCAGTACTTAAGCATTCTCTTTTAAAATTCATATATTTTTATTATAAAATAGTGAAGTATTAAAACTATGTCAATTTTTTTTTTTTTTAATAACAAAGCATAATTCTAATTATTAATTGTCAATACAACAATATAGTAAAGAAACATATGAAACAATAAACTTATATATAAAATTTTATTTACGAGAGACAAAATATATAAAAAAAATTAAATATAATAATCATATTTTTAATAAATAATATATTATTTTATCTTGTACATGGCACGGGTGACATACTAGTATTAATGTATGCTAATTTGTGAAGCTCTGCCAAAAAGTTGATAAATTGTTGTTCTGTATTTTCACACATTCTTTTCTAAAGTCTGCTAAGAAATTTTGGACAAGTTGATTTTAAAATCTTACGCTCTAGTCAAATCCATATCGAAGAATCTCGTCGTCTGATTACCTATACTCTTCTTGTTTGGAAGAAAAATGAAATATTTTCGGGCTCCCTATGCAATAACCCTATATGTGAGAGTCAGAGCTAAAGTCACAAGTGTCGATTAACAATCCGAGTTACAGAACATTAATCAAGTTTTACCAAATGGGAATCACATGTTTGCGTGAAAGTATAAATTAAGGACTAGCAGTTGATAAATTTGAAACACATTGAACAGGCCAATTAAGGTAATAGCCCTGTTTGGTACAACTTATTTTCAGCTTTTAGTTTAATTTAAGCTGTTTTGATGTGTTTGGTTCAGCTTAACAATACAGCTTATAACTTTTTGTAAGTCAGAAATCAACTTATTCTTTGAGTGGGAGAGGAGAAGCTTAATTTATAAGTCAGAAATCAGCTTATATTCACAGTTATAAGCTATAAGCTGTTAAGGTATAAGCTGTAATCACTTTCGCACAGCTCTACCAAACTGGGCCAATATTAGTACGCTAAAGAGGCTAAGATGGACAATCCAAAGCTATGAAGAACATTTATTGAAAAAAGCAGTAGTTAAATAAAAATGAGAAACACAAAAGTTCAGAAAAGTATTTCACAAGAACACTACATAGATAACACACGCAACAAAATCAACATTAATATCAGAATCCTGAATAACTTAGGTCAAGAGATTCAACACAAGTCCCTTTTAGATACAAGCCATTCCTCGATTGATTGTCCATTGAAAACCTGTGACTTCATGGTTCGCAGTTCTCTTACGTTGTGTTTGGTTAGGAGATTTGAAGAGGGATTTGGAAAGGGAAAGGGAAAAGTTAGATGAAATGCGAATAAAATACACCTACATTTCACCTAGTTTCACGTACTTTTTTCTTTCCCTTTCCAAATCCTTCCCCAACTCCCCCAACCAAACATACCATTAGTGATCTGAACCCATGCATCGGCTGATTTTCCATTTGAACATCTGTGACTTCACGCTTCACGGTTCTTTCTCCTAGTGATCTGAAATTAGTAATTTCATATCCATTACGTGCACTCAGAAAATGTCAAGGACAATATTACATAAAACAAAAAAATATAAGCAATACATTTTGAGTTCAAAGCGTTTGACTCACCTGGGACAGCCATGAACTATAAAATCTTGTACCCTTCAATTTATTGAAGCCTCCTAAGGCCTCTAAAGTCCTCCCACCCTGCCAAGTTAAGATTCGGACATTTACTAATCTCCCAATTCCTCAAGTTGGCTAGCTTCTGCATGGTATTTGGCAGAGAAGTCAAATTGGGACACGCTGCACTGGTCACTGTTGTGAGCGCGGTGAGGAGTTGCATCTCTTCAGGCAAATATGTAAGGTTTTCACAGCCTATAATATGAAAGGATCGGAGAGAGGTCAATTGTTGAATCTCTTTCTCTGGCAAACAACTCTGCTGTGTGGTTAAGTACAAATGCCTGAGACTGATCAAGTTTCCTATTTTTTTGGGCAACTCTCGGATTTTAACACAATTCCAGATTCTCAAAGTCTGCAAATTGTAAAGTCTGCAAATAGCATTAGGAAGTGTCTCGATATTTGCATTTCCACTGAGGTCTAAAAACCTCAAATGCTTCAAATTGCCAATGGAGTCAGGCAACACTTTCAAACATGAGTTGCTGAAATCGAGAACGTGTAGATACTTGAACTTTGAGATGCATCTGTTAACAAAGCCCTGATTATCACCGGCTCCCACTCCTTGAAATGGAAATAAAATCGTCCGTAGATTCTCTAGTTCAAACAACGATTTTGTGACACCTTCTTTCCCTGAACAATCACAATCAAGAAACGATACATGCTTAACTCTCTCAAAAATCGAACCAGAATGATAATTTGCAGTACTTAAGCATTCTCCATTTGCCATAAATACTGCAAGATCATGAATGATCTCGTGCATTCTACAGGTATTTGATAAATTGCCGTGTTGTTTTTCAATTTTTTCTAAGAAAAATATGGAACATAATCGACCCAAATAATCAATACCAGTATCTTCCAACTCGCGATTTAGGCCACTTAACTTAATGATCCCCTGCGCCATCCACAACTGGATCAATTTATCGATCTCAATTTTATAGCTTTTTGGGAAGATTGAACAATATATGAAGCAGCGTTTCAAGTCAGTCGGTAGTGAGTTGTAGCTCGATCTTAACACGCCCAAAATGTCGTGTTTCTTTTGCGCCAATTCCCATAGTTCTTTCTCTTTTAAATCCAACCATTTACTTTCATCGGTCTCCATAAACAGACTGTTACCTAAAGTCTTCGCTGCAAGAGGACATCCGTGGCATTTTTTCACGATTTCCTTTGCAATTTCTGAGAGCTTCGCAATCCCATCATGTTCTTCCCCCAATTTTTCACGACAACCCGCCCATTTCAAAAGCAATTCATGGCAATCTTCATCCGAATGACTCTCTAAATTGTATATAGGAACTGTGCCCACAGTTGTAGCAACCCATTTGCTCCGTGTAGTCACTACGATCTTACTTCCCTTGGCACCGCCACCTCTCAAAGGTTACAGAACTTAAGCCAATCTCGGTTATCACTATCACATACATCATCCAAGACGAGCAAAAAATTCTTATTATGCAATTTTTCTTTGAGGAGCTTCTTTATCTTACTCGAATTGAGGCCAGTGCAAGGCGAATTAGAATCAGTTATGCGTTGAATAATTTTTTGCATCACACGTTTAACGTTAAGATCTTGTGCTACTGTCACCCAAATCCTCAAGTCGAAATGCCTGACTAGGGTTTCGTGATTGAACAACAATTTAACCAGAGTGGTCTTGCCAACGCCTCCGATCCCAACAATGGGGATGACA